GGTGCTGTGAAACCCCATAAAATCCCAACTTGCCATCCCATCGAGAACAAGGCAGCTGACCAAGGCTCCCGAGCACTAAGCACGAAGCTCTTCATTGAACGTCTAGAACCCAAAGTCCAACATGAGAGATCTTGAGCCATTACTAGGTCCCTTCTTGGAATACAAGGCAGGGAGGTCCTGATGATTGAAAATGCACACTTCCAGGCTTCAGCAGAACCTGATCAACCTCTGCAAAAAGGTTCTCAAAGTGTCCCTTTCATGCTTTATCCTAAACGGGGACCCCAATTAGTCCTTTACATTGCAAATCTATGCATGAAATTTCCAAACTAGCCCAGTTCTGAGAAGCTCCCAGATCCAAGAAACATCTCTCGCATCGCGCCGCTCACCAGTGTTTTTATCCTGGTCGGGGGTTTCAGAAGTGCTGCCGCTACAGATGAAGTGGCACCATTGGCGTGTAGGTGATTTCTGAAAAGCCTGATTCCCCCACTAACTTAGGGCCAGCGTTTGCGAGAACTTAGACACCATGCTAGACCGTGCCTGTGATCTGGGTTGTTCGGTGATTACAGTGGAAGACTTGTCAATGCTTCTTTTCTTGGTCTGGGCTTGGTACAAGCCTCTCTTGCATGTGGCACGTTTCACCAACATAACACGCAGTGCGTCCATCCAGCAGTGTTTAGGAGAGACTTAGGCTCCAAAAAACTAAGGCTAGAAACCCCTTAATTTCAACTTTGCATCACATGAGTCCATCTACAGTAGTGCTTCCAATCAATTAGCATGGTCTGAAATCTGGGGAGCCCCCAGCCCCAACAGCTCTTGTTTGCTCGACGGAGAACGGTCAGAAGAGACCAAGGTCGAAATGACCACAGCCCAGTTGCGTTACATCCCTGGAACAATCAATGCGTATCCCTGATTGACTGACCTTGGCCGCGGTGTATTGATTAGGGTCTGCAGAGGGTTCAGGGCCTGGGATGGATTTGAGCTTCAGACGGGAGAGTGAGGTCTTGATGCTTCGACTGGAGAGATGGGACTGGATCAGTCTCTGCTGACGCCACGGCCTGAAAACATGTGCGCGCTTCATCAGCTCCAGAAGATCACCGATTGTGCTGTTAAATATTATAGTGGTTCCCCACCTCGGCGTAGACCCAAATGAAATACCCCTACGTAGCTCATGCCTATGCCTCCTCTGACCATGCAATGGCGAGCAAAGGCATTGCGGACCAAGCTTCAACACCAGGATTTTCTTCCCCCCCAGGGAGCTGACACGCAGCATGTAGATCAACTTTACCTGAAGGATGGCTTGGCTGGATGCACAGGAAACTTGAGCTGATCATCCCTACATTGGCTAGCTGCTAGCTCTGTCAGGCGAAGCTTTTTGTAAAGGAAGTTGCGCACCACCACCCATTATAACTTCAATAATGCTGATTCTGAGGGTTGATGGCACGGGCATTTTACGAACATCCAGCACCACGAATATCGGCAGAAAGATGGCTTAACAGAGGATATACAAAGCAAAACAGCTCCTTCCCAAGAGCATGCAGGGGGGTCATCCCTCAACCTGGGAAAAACAGTGATGTTTTTTCGTCTAGGGGGTACAAGGACCGTGTGGACATAAGTACAGATACGCATCTTTTCGAGCCCTGCTGCAGCTGCTCAAATCATATGTGTATATATGTATGTATACACATATGTTTTTTTTGGCTTGCCTTGCTATTCTCTTTAGGTGATGTGTCAAAAACACATCGAGTAGTGGTGAGTATGGCCTTCTTCAGGAATGTTTATTTCATGATTCTTTGAACGAGCCAAGAACCGGAGACCCAACAATGAGCAGCCTTGGCTTCCTCCATCTTCAAGCACGTGCAGTGCCAAGGTTAAGGCTGCACTTCACTGGGCCCCAGGTTAAGTTCATCAAGCTAATCTAGTATCAGATTAAGCTCTCGTGATCAGTTACATCTAAACAGTAGATGGAATGGACGCTGCTGATTAGTTGGATTCGTCCAAGCAATCGACTTACGAGGTCCTGGCTGTTTCCTTCTCATCTGACTGAGGGAGAAACTTGCACCAATTGGATCAAGTAGATTCAGGCTCAGGCCCTCTAATCAGAATAACCTAGCAAGGCTAATTCCAACTAAAGTAATGAATGCAACGATGCTTTGATTCGACTCATTTGCTTCATCAGATTCATCAAGCTACGCAGTCCTAGCCCTATTCTTCATTCGCTTATTTCGACGATTTTGTTTAGTCAGCCCAATTCGCTTCGGGCTCTGGTCCCCTGATAACACACGTTAAACTGATTAGTTGAATAGTTAGATGGCGTACATTAATTACAAATATTTACAAATAGACACGCTGGCCCTCCAACCTAATTGCCACAGTTAGTCGAAGGTTGAAACTCAATTATTACATGAAACTAGATCCCGCAATCTGATTAAATACATTCCTTGAAACTGCACATTCGGTCCACGTATGATAGCACTCAGATTAATCAGGTAGGTACTGATGTCATGGCAAGGGTTTCATTGTCGTTAGATTGGGGTCAGGTTTCAAACGTTTGGTTAATAACGAAGCCATCGTTTGCTTTAAAACTCTTGAGTATACATTCGGATTAAAGTTCCACAAATTCCACAAATTCAAAAACAAAAAGAACTTTAAAAAACAACGCGCTGCTAAAACATCGACAACTTCAAAACAAGAAACAAGAATGTCTCAGCCCGAGCCACCATGTTTGCGACTTTTTGGAACTCCAGATTCCCCCCAAATTCTAAAACTTCAAAAGCACATATGATAAAAGTGATGCACTTGCCAAAGAAAATCATAAAACATAATCCGCCTCAAGCACAAAAAACAGGAGCCGTCAGGCTCTCCAAGAAATGGAAGCCGCCCACAAACCCAACCACAGTACAGAAGCCATACCTTTCCTGTCGTATGTCTGGTAGTTGCCCTCAATAGGGGGGGACCCAAATATTGACCCCCGAATACTAAACCGTGTCTTGTGAATTGCTGCATGCTAATGCTTGCCTCAGATGAGGATATGGTCCTACTCTCATCCTGTGGATCGTTTGGATTGCACCTGCCTGAAGGCTATACACATTTTGTGATCAACATGATTACTACGATAATGCAACATTATGAGAATACTATACTAGTTTGTAATATGCCAGAATCTACTATAATAATGCTATAATAGGCTGTCACGAGCATTGCGGCCCAAGAAGCGCAATGCATGAAGAAGCACACTGCAAGCAAAGCCTGAAGCGGCGCTTCAGCTGTCTTCGTCAGCTGTTCGGTGGGTCAACGCCCACAACTGTTATTTGGAAACTAAACTCAACAAATCCTAGCTCCTAACCTCAAAGATGGATCATGCAGATTGACAGGGGAGCTTACCTGAGTCTTTGCAGGGAAAGCCTTGCGCAAAAGAATGACAAATATTTCGGGTGTCTTTTCGTCCGGGTCTGGAGTTTCATAACGTGACCATTGTGTCGCCCATGAACGCACTGCAAACCCAAGCGGGAGTTCCTAAACCCCCCCCAAGCCCCTCAAATCAACGCCCTAAGCTCGTGAGGCCCATGTTCGATCTGTACATGCCGGCAGAGTCCGCAGCTGCCTGCGTTGTGTCGGGCATCTCCCGCTCGCAGTTCCTTCTTAGCAAGCGTGTCAACACAACTTTTGAGAGTAGGCGTTTCAGTCATACCTCATGATGTAATTAGTCTCATCTTGAGCATGGAGGCTTCAGAAAAGGAAGCCCGACATTTTTTGAAACCCACATTAATGTATTGTGTCCTTAGATGGTACTTTTCCATACTTTTCCAACCGGTCGGGATTGCACATGGCAAGAACAGTTGCCGGGCTTTTGATATGTCCCTCCAAGAATGCAGGCGTCCAAGGACCTTATGAAAAGTGTATCCAAAGACAAACCAGGGATACCACAGCATGACAACTTGTGATCCTAAGAGCTAGTGTCCGAAAACCAGCTTGAGTACCAGCCTCCTATCTCAAGGCAACCCCCCGGTGGGGTGCCCTGAGACCCCGAATGCTCACAGAGTCTACTGAAAGCTTGCTCAATGGCTCTCTCAAGTATTCACCTGAAATCCAACCAGAAGCACGCATGGCTGGAACTTTTCGAGCCGGCTCCCCACCCGAACGAATGGCATTTTCCCCTGGCAAATCTGGCAAAATCTTACCCTAAACCCTCCAAACTCTTGACCTCAACCCCTATCCCGGACATGTAAAACCTACACTTAACCCGGCAAGCTCTTAATTACTATCAGCAGTTGATTATTTGATCAGCCCTTAAACCCTCAGCGCTGAACACAAAAAAATGCTGGACAGCCGAAGCTCGACGAGCACTGCACGCTAATTAAGAAGACCGTCTTCAACATGCAGAGGATCCTCAAGGTGGACGAAAGGCTTCCGCAGAAAGGTTTATGGCTGACGGGCCAGGGGGGCTCCTAGGTGAGCATGTTATTTCTGCTAGTGCTGTAGGGTTGCATGGAAGGAAACGCATTCATACTCTTACGTAGACCTTCCTTTTTCACGTTCTCCCAGCATGCACCTTCTCGTAGCCACAACCCTCTTCAACATCATGCGTGTTGTTTTGGCCTCGCTCTCTCTCTCTCTCTCTCCCGCTTCTTCTTCTCCCCTGTTCCTCTCTCTTTTTCTGTCTGTGTCTCTGACAGGCATGCGGCAGAGTGATCCCTTGCTGGTTCAGATGCCAACAGTTACTGCCGTGACCGGCAAAGCGGCTCTCCGTGGGGGGCGAAGAAAGAGGTCTGTGTGCTCCACGCACATGGGCAAACTTGGGGGAAGCTGCGTAGCCAAATACTCATCCCTGCGGACTGGGAGTTAACATCAGTTGCAGGGTCTCGACGGTTGTTGTTTCTGGACCTCGACCCTAGCGCAGATTTTGAAAATCATGGATTGAAGGGCTGCGCAACAAACTTTCGCACAAATTCTGAGACACTGAACTAAAGAAACCCTCGTGCTCACCATGCCGCACGAGCTGCAGCTCGGGAGTGTTGGTGTTGTGGCTCAGGTCGAAGATCTTCATTGGGTGCCAAAGTGCATGCAAGCCGGACCGCCTCATGAGGGCTTGCTTTGAATGGGGATTGCAGCATTCAAAGGGTATGCGGGATCGTAGTCTTACAAGCTCTCTGGATTTCAAAACTTTTCGGGATTCCATTCAACAAATTAGAGAGAGGTTCAAAGACAGATCAAATCTTGGAAGCCTACCTGAATACCTAAAGATCTTCCCCTATACTCCCACGATCTTGGGATTCAAGGCTAGCATTCTGGGTATTGGGAGATATACTGCACAGGGGCCCTATGTAACTGTGAAAACGGGGTAGCCCTTAACCCTCCTCTGCTGGGTCCGAGCCGCAGCTCCTGCACGCGTGCCTCCGCCGAAGATGCGCGTAGGGAGTGCTGACTTTGATGCCTGCCAGTTTTGGGTTCGAGTCGTTTCAGGCTTGGTGCTTCGAGTTGAAAGGTTTGGACTAGAATAAGGAAATTTCATCCCAGTACAATAATACAATAATGTATTCCCTTTTTCCGTACTAACCACCAGCATATACCATAGTATAATGTAGTAGTTTCCATTTTCTTTTCCTCATGAGCCTTATGGCCCTAACCCTGAACCCTAAATTCTACACCCTACACCCTAAGGCCCATCTTCCAAACATTCAGTTGCTTCTGCTACTGGGAGCTAAGTCTCCTCCTGCACAAGGTCTGGTCTTTGTCAGGATGGCCTGGGAACAGTTTTCTGCATTGAGGTTAGAATGGGATAATGGAAAAGAACATGGCAACTACTATGTTACAATAAGGTGTATACTGGTGGTTATGCGCTGCTTCAGGAAATGTGGCGGCCCGGAGTGGGCTTGGATTGACTTGCCCTACTTGGACCACGGCTTTCCCTTGAACAGGGTGCATGGCGTGCGTGGATGGAATTCCTGAACGGTATTCAAGGGAGTTCCAGGTTACCTCTACCTGGCAGACTATGGTCTTATACTAGGCCTCATACAGCCCAGAACAACCACCCTGCTGCCTAAGCCACTTCCGGCAAAGGCCGAAGAGCCACCAGCCGATGTTTGTTACATCACCTCATGACACTTCTCCGATCGCTGAATGATCTGCATCAGGCTTATTGCAAGCTTTGGTGCTGTCGCATTTGAATAGATCTGAAGTTTGTAGGATCAGCGCTCCTTTGCACTATTGCGAGTGCTATGTCTTGCCAATGTTTACTGTTTCCCAAGACCTCCAGGACACGGCCGCTTCAGACATCCCAGAAGCCTGTACTGTACATCGTATACACAATAAGCTGCAGCGAGACCAGGGGATCACAAGGCTCACCCATCTGAGAAGGCCTTTTTGAAAGTGCTCTTTCCGAATCAAGCTCTGCCAATTTCACAGGCACTCTCAAAGTCTCTGCAGACTCTGAACCGCTGCAATCTTTCTCTGACCACTGTATTGGGGGCTTTGGCTGCATGGCTTAGCAGGGGCCTCACAAAACAATGGTCAGAATGGGGGCAAATCCCTGCACTTGATACTAGATCATCACCGCTTGCTTAGCAAATGCAGCGGCTGATGTCTTTTTACTACATTATTGCGCTGCTCCCTCCGAATGCATAGCTAAGGGGTTCTTTGGGCGAACGAGAGGACATGAAATCATCGCGCCAGCGTTCGCAAGCGTCCCCTTGGGCTCGTGAATTTGTAGAAACGTCGGCAAGAGTGTTGGAATGTCCCTAAGGTTTGCTTCAAATTCAAGGCCACGATTGCCAGAAATGCCATCAGTCACAGGGGATGTGCCAGGCACAATCCTCGAAGCTTTTGCTTTTGCGCCCTCAGATCCTTGTCGGGCTGTGCAAGTTTCCTTCATCTTTTGTGGGGATGGGCCGGGTTGCGGTTGCCATCCCCGCCGGAAGACTTATCTCGTGTGTTATGTCATCGCCTCGAGTCTCCATACTGAATCTCCATGTCATGTCTGCTTGACATCACCCCATGTAGTGTCCTCATCTTGTTTGCTATAAGACGGCATTGAACATTTGCAACGACTGCCGGTGCCAAGCTCACTGGTACGCAACAGCCAGGAAAGGGAACAAAGAACCATACTCAACAACAGTAATAACAATCAGCGCACGAATCTTTCCTTGTTCCTTCCCTTCTCGTTTCCTTCTTTGCTGCTCTCTTTCCTTGCATCCGAAGCTCATCCCTTCCTTGAATGATTCCTTCGTGTAAAAACACATCGTAGTCAAGCATTAGCACTCCAGGTCAAAGAAGAGGTCTAGCTAAATAAAATCGTAGACAAAGCACCCTGATTTGCCAAACTTCCAAACTTCGTTTGCATCGCTAACAGCGGGCTATTCTGAGATACAATGAGCAATAACGGGCTGAGAGCAAACAGCACGGCACCTCTGAAAATGCGGTTTCATTTCAAACGGGGTCGGAAAACTGCCCATGTCAGCTGGGGAACGCAGCAGTCCGGCCAGCAGGAAGTTGGCGAAGCGTGGATATTGGAGGCTCGAGTTCCTTCCCTCTTCCTGATGAAACGCTGTTTCTTCTAGTGGAGATTGAGATGTGACCCCATAACTACAGGGCGCACTACACAGAAGGCCATCGGCATGCTGTCCATAAGCTTGAATAACTTGAAGTGGCTCCTACTATTTTGGACAGGTAAACGTTCCGGTAAGCATGCCCAGGCACTGCAGGACAACGTGAACTTGGGACCCGCAAATTCTTATCCCTCTACTCTGACTGGGTAATATTGTAAGGGGCCTACACAGCCTAGGCGGGGATGTGCCGGTTGGGAGGAGCAGAACAAGAAAGTATGGGTACCGGAGGAAGCTTTGCGAGTCCTTGGCGCCCTCGGAGCCAATGATCCGCCACAGGAGGGGCCTTCTGGAGGGAGTCAGGCCCCAGAGAGCCAAAACCTGGATTTGGTGATGCAGCTAAGCTTAGTGGGGGTTGGTAGGAGAAAGGAGAGCATATAGTATAGTAGAGTATAGTATAGTATAGTATAGTATATATGGGTTATCTTTTTTCCCTACGAACAACCAGTAAGGGCAAGGGTTTTAACTTGAGATGTTTTGAAATCAGGGCGGAAGGTTTGCGTCTCGTAGCTCTTGCCAAGCCGTAGCTCTGCAGAATGGTCAGCCCGTCTCGTAGGCGAAGCCAGGAGCTAAGTGCTCGCTTTGCGTAAAGCCGTAGTTGAAAATCATCCAATACACAACATGATTCAGCACCCGGCCTCTAGGGTCGACGTTACAAAATTGAATGGAGGGCCTCAAAGTTATGATGGGAAAAGGCAAGGGAATGGCACAGTAAGTCCTTCACTCCAGTGGTTGGGTATCTTGGTTGGGATCTCTACTCACAAGTCTTGTACAGCAGGATTCAGACTTTTAGTTTCTGTTGCTCTGTTTTCATCGCCCCTCCTTCATGTCAAGGCTTCTGGCGCGGACTCTCAGCAACAGTCCTCCGATTTTGACCCTATGTTGTATACACATGCATGCATGCATTTGCGTCCGCACATGCGCACCTCTCAACTCTTCCTGCAACTCCCTGCCTCCCCATTCCCCATTATCCCATTCTTGTCCGTCTAGCCATTTACCTACAAAGTCTCCTTATTCTACTGCCCTTAAGATCTGGTGCCAAGTCCTCCCATCCTTGCTCATTTTTGGCAGCCGTGGACACACATTGGAAATCCCCAGCCCAGCAGCAACTAAATCCAGCGTGTTGAAGAGTAAGGTGAGGCCGAACACCGGGCCTTGACGAGTTTCAGATCTGGGGGCTGGGTTAAGGTCGTCCAGTGAGGGACTTTGGGATCTCTTCTGTAATTTCACGGTCCATCTTGTGGCCTTCGTGTGTTGGATCTGGGTTTGCTGAACCATGTCTGTGGTGGATCCAATGGTGCACATGGACTACACATAACTAATGCGCGCTATCTGAGGTCAGATGCCTCAAGCCTGGCAAATACCATGGCACACCCAGCTTATCTTTGTAAAGGTGACAAAACGGATGCTAAACTCAGAACCCTATGAATCACTGCAAGCCCACGCCGCGTTCAAGGTCAAGGACATGAGCTCTCTCAAAGACAACTCCAAACTCGAAGCTGCAAGTCCCACCAAACACCACTAGCCCCACACCTTCCAACCCTGAGCAATCAACCCTAGATCCACCTCAAGCCCCAAACAGACCTGAAACCCAACAGAATACACATCCCTTTTCTCTTAGTTCCAGGGTTTGGACAGAAATCGCACCAAAGGGCTGATGAGCTCGATCCACAGGCAGTGGACGGCTGCTTTGATGGCAAGTGAGTTGAAGATCTGCCTGGATGGGCATTCGGGGTCTCAGCTTCTGTTTGGTTAAGAAGTAGGGGCTAGAAAAATGCTATCCAAAGCACACCTCCCAAAATCGGAAGCCTTTTTTGAGTGTGCTCTTGAAAATCGGAAAGTCATTATGCAGAGCTCTGCATAGACCCCACCCATGCACGCTGACGCAAAGCTGAGAAGCAAACAAGACCTACCGCAAGCATCAGAAACCTGCAGGTGAACCATTATAAGCCTGCAGTATTAGGAATATTGTCTCCTTATAAGCCTCATGCAATTCCAGTTCAAGTTGCCCCAAAACCCATGATTCTAGTCATGTAGGCCCCTACATTACATCCGTACATGAAGCGGCAGGGGGCTACCTGCGAAACATGTGCATTCCTGGTCCTGAATAACTAGCTAGGGGCGTTGGTTGTAACCGTTGAGGCTTCTACACTGAACACCTTACAACCCCCCTACCTTAAAATGATCGTAGTTTCCATTGCATTTTGCGCATGTTGCATGTTCTTTTCCGCTTGACTCTCCATTATTGGCAAGTAGGCCTGCTTCTATATCCTACATCCTGAAACACCGTATACTCATATAATCCCATCATACGCCCCCCCTGCCTGTGGACACTCCTGGCTGAAGCCAAGGCCATGAAGATGTCGATGTCTAAGATGTTGGGCAGCAAGAGCGCCAGTGTTTCCTGCAGCCCCAAACCCTCACATGTTGAGGGGGCTTTCCGAAAAGTCGGGTGGGGGTTCCACTTTCTGGGGTTGCCTGTTCACTTTCTGGGAGTACCTATCATGGCATTTTGGGGTCCATATCGGAGTCTCCTATCCATCGAAATACCTTGATGCCTAGTTCTCGGTTTCAGCCCTGACCTCTGCTTGGATGCCCTAGACTGTAGACGAATGAATACTCTACCGCATGGTGCCGCTGACCTGAAAAAAGTACCCGCGAAGCTCTTAGCTATTTCGTCCATTTGACGTTTCTATAGGCATCTTTCGTGTTGCATGTCTGGCTTCGTAGGTAGGGGGAAAGGCCCGCATGTCTACACATTGCTGGGAAGCAAGGATCATTATGAGGGCCAGACGGCAAACGCTTCCAGCAGAAAATGCCAACGGAGCATGAAAGAGGCTCAAATAGTACTTTATCATGGCGTGCCAAAGTCAAAGCAACCGTGCGAGGGATCGTGACTGTCTTGTTTGCAGATGTCAGTTGTCAACATTATGGACCCCTCCATGACTTCTTGGCATGTGGGGCTTGGATTTTACGGCCTCCTGTTCAGCGCAGAAGCATAGGGACACCACCATACCAGCGACTGCGCGAAGCTCTATACTGCAAAATGGCCAACCAGCCATGGCTGAAGGAGCTCTGCATGGAGATCAGCTTAAGGTATAGAAATGGTTGGGGTTTAGCTGATTCTAGACCGGCGAATAAGGGAGCTAAATTTGAGAGCAATGTGTGATCTCCAGGGCCAGTCTCATAACTATACTACTCCAAAGGGTAATAAACTCATAGTATCCCACTTTAGCCCTAATATCATCTATAGTAGTCCCCTACAAAAACTCTCTATATAACTCCCCTTTAAAGAGTTAGATGCTCGTTTCCCTCTGAGCTTGCGGCCACATCGAAGACACTGGCGCTCCTCGCCTGCTTTTCCCGAGGTACCTTGCGTGAGCTACGCATATGCCCACACAGGTCGAAAGTTTCCTCGATTTGAGAAGTAAGGGGATTTTGGTAACCCCAACCCCCACAGTTAGGACCCTCGCACAAGCATATGATAATCATAGGGTTACCATGCATTATTGATATTAATTACTCCCTAAGAATGACACCTTCACTAAAACCTAAAATGAGGGTATCCTGGCTAGGTTTAAACTTGGCTGAGGTGCAGCGAATGCAATATACCTGGACTTACCATAGCACGTTCGACTTGAGATTCTTCATGCTTCAGGGAGTGTTGGGCAGCCTGCGATAGCTGCGAAAAAGCCCACCTCTGTAAATGGCAGGGTTTTGAAAGGCGCGCGTATTCGGAAAATGGATTCCGCTGCTCGAGCAGATGCAAGACATAGCTGGGGTCGCAAGATTCGCAAGCAATGAATGCGCGTCAAAGAGTGCCTCTGGATAATTCTTGTTTTACCGTGCTTTGTTTGAGATTTGACCGTGATTGGGTGGGTGGGAAGCCTGAGAGGTGTCTGAAGGCTGGTGCAATTCCTGAATAGGTAGACGCATGAAACGTTTTGGAGTGAGGTCGGAGTGGGGGAGAAGTGGTGCAAGGTTGCTAGCTAGGGACAGGTTGGCGTGCAGGGGAAGAGTAGCGAGAGAGAGATTGAAAGAGGCTGAGACTTATTGAATTTCGAATTCAGTCGTCGAGTTTTCTGAAAACTCCCCCTGATGTTCTTCACCTTGCCTCTCAGATGCCAAGCAGTACTTTGTCCTAGGCATGCAATTTCTAGCGGTATGGGTCATGACGGCAGGAGAGCAGTCGTGCAAACTGTTCCGGCTGATTTTTGGATGAGGCAATCAGCCCTACGTTTCGCTCTGCAAAAGCCATGCAGCGGCTGCAGGCTACTGTTGCACATAGCAGTCCCTCCACAATCCCCTTCAGGTAGTCCGCATCATCCATTCCTTGCTTGATCGCTCATCGTCAGTAAGTTAACCAGGTGAGCTGCACGAAGGAAGCTGGAGTGCCACACTGGCATCTGACCTCAAATGGCAGTAGGTGCAAGCTTGGAGCTCATATTTGTGCCAGCTTCAAAGATATGTTCTCAATCTGCATCACGCCTCCTGAAGTAGATTGGTCCGATGCCATGAAGAACTATGGATGCAGCGCTCTCGATAGAAGGCCCTAAACCCTAAACACCAGGAAGGCAAAGTTGCGCATCAATGTTGACTGTGGAAGCCTTGCCTGCTGAGCCCTCCGTATGATTCTACATGAGGTTGAGCTCCAGGTGAAAAGGGGTTTTCCAAACGAAGGGGTGCCCGTAAAGTTCCAAAATACTACAATGTAGATATTATACGGGCTCCCAAAATGGACACCTACCATTCACAAATCCCACGCGGCAACCCCACCTCAACCCTGAACCTGACACAACCTTGCCGACACCACTCCCAGTCCATAGATAAGACAGTTTTCTGACATGTCGGCGAACTCCAGATTTTGAAAAGAACCCACGTATTTGAGGGAATTCAAATTTCGCGTCTTCAGCCTACGAGACACTTTCTTTGCAGTTTGGACCAATGCTGGGAAGCAGCCAGTGTTGACATCGTACTTCCACTCGGGCCACCGCACGCGGTCCTGGCTGTGCTGAGGCTTGCGGCTTACCATCTCGACAAGCAGAAAAGGAATGTGGTAACCCCCACCGCCAAACATAGGACAACTCTGAGACTTGACGTCGACTATTGAATGATTATTGGTGAAGCAAAGTTTTTCACCGTAGTAAACTCATCTGACATTCTGTTAATTCTAGGCTCCAACTTTGCTGGTTGGGGTAGGGAGCCCCCCAATACTAGACAAGGGCATGCATTACCCGTCAAGTCGGGATGAAACTATCTGCTGACCATACGGACTGCTGCGCAACAACAACAACAACAACAACAACAACAACAACAATTGATTGATATGATGTCAATTTCTACTATGCCTAGATGCAGGAAACTTGCCTCACAAAGGTGAGCTAGAAACGGATACCTGCTGGGCACTCTAATGCCCTCTGTTGCTGACATCTTCCTGCAATACACCTGCCTTTTGTGCAAGCATGGAGCCCAAATCGCCAGTGGCTTTGGAAAGACAGCCAATGTTGTGGGGGGGTCTGCATTCCAGGGAGCGTACTTACCACTGCTTTCGGAGACAGACATAAAACCCTTGCAAGTGCTAGCGTCTTCATCCAGGTTGCTTTGGCTGCTGAAGTGACCACTATTCCGCAATTCATGCTGCGACTTTCCGAATCCTCGTATGTAACTCTGCCAACAATGCTGCGACGCCTTCTTGCACCAGTACACTCTTTTCCAGGAGATCTCTTTTTACAGGCTTCTTCTGCCAAGGCGCCTGTCTTGCACCCAAACGGGTCTCTCTCATGTCTGGCTTGTACGCGCACTGCCTTACGGGCTAGCACACAGTATAGAGAAAGACGCGCTCTTACGTAATTAGCGGGCACTTATCAGCCATGGAGTCCTCCACGTTTGGACTGAGCCGGACTGCTAAAAGTGCAGGCAGGTGGAGTTGTCAGTATTATGTAGCCGGGAATTTCCAACGTCAAAACAGCCCGAATGTGTTGGAACTACATATGCTCTTTATTTGGACGGCCATAAGGGGCTGCAATGGAGTGGTGAGTTTCTCAGATTAGGAATAATAATCGTAGAAACAGTAGTAGCACTCATGGCAAAATTATTTACTTCGAGCATACCCACCCTAAAGCCGTTATTGCACAAGAAGTGTAACGTTTCCCTGCCCCCCCTCGACTGTCTTCCTTGCAGCACTCCAGGGATACTCTGCGGTTGGACACTGCAGGGATACTTTTCGGTTGGGCCCTGCACAGATATTTGGTGGTTGGACACTGCAGGGACACTTTGCAGTTGGGCACTGCAGGGATACTTTGCGGTTGGGCAGTGTAAGCTCTGCGGTTGGGCACTGCAGGGAAACTCTGCGGTTGGGCACTGCAGGGATACTTGGTGGTTGGGCACTGCAAGGATACTTTGCAGTTGGGCACTGCAGGGATACTTTGCGGTTGGGCACTGCGAGGATACTTAGTTGTTGAAGACTGCAGGGATACTTTGCAGTTGGGCAGTGTAAGGAAACTCTGCGGTTGGGTACTG